ACCATTTAGCAACAGAAATTTTCCTCAGGAGTTGGATAAAACATGAAGCAACAGGTAAATGTAGACTGAATATTGGACTTTTCTGGGGAACCACTGCAGTAGATTATTAGGGCCAAACAAATATTGAAAATTAAGTAGAAATTTCGAGAATAAAGTTGAAATCTTAAGAATAAAGACAAACTAAATCTGCGGTCGATACTTTAAAGTTGGAGAGTCCAGAGTGAAGTTGAAATGTCATCGTAAAGTAAACCACTCTACTCCATCTAATCCAGTTAGGAGTGGAGTGATTGACAGCTGTGTGAGCTGCCAGTGTTCCATCTTTCCACACTTTGATAGTTTCTCTTTCTGAACAGAACCCGTGAAGAGGCATAACCTCTTCAAAGTCCTGATACTGATCAATGACCACACTTTGTTCATGTGCTAAAAGAGGAATCTACACAAGTCATAGTCAGAGGTTCTAGTGATTGTGTATGTATGCATGTATTCTTAAAGGTTTTCCTTCAATCTGGAAATTTCAAATGTATTCTCAGCATTTTGACTTTATTCTTCATGTGCAAATTCAAATAAAAACACCTCCAGAATTAATTGTTATTACGTCTGGCTCTATTATTTTGTACTTCAGACACCACTGCTATTGAATATGCTAATGTTGCTTCACATTGGCTGTATGTGTGATTAACTTACAAATACTGTGAAACTAAAAGGTGTCATCAAACATGTCGTTGTTCGAGTTGCCCTCAGGTGATCAACATTTCAATCAAAAAACTTGTTATACCAGGCTGTCAGGTAATATGCGACTAAAGGCCTTTGCACATCAATTCAATCTCAGGGCACTTTATATGTTTTAAGTTCGTGACCTTAGAATTATAGACTAACAAAACAGTTCACACAATGAGCAAGCACTTTGGCTGCTGTGGAGAGAAAAATCCTTGATGCATGAAATAGCAAATAATTTGGTGGCAAATTTCCACATACCTGACTATTCACATCAAATGAGATGCATTTTGTATTAAGCAAATAAATTATAAGCATAGAAAAAAATTGTGCCCTGGGAAAGGAAAGATAAAATGTACATGAAACAATGATGTTCTGGTCTGTTAACTCAATAAAAACTACAAAAGATGAAAAACCTTAGTTTAGATGGAGAGGAGAACTTGGTTCAGAAGCTTAAACTGTATCACAGCCATCAGGACATTTTGTCACCTATTTCTTGACCCTAGCCTCAAGTCGACTACATCACATACTTTTAAAGATAAAAAATAACTGTGAGGGATGGCCTAAGACAAATACATTTAATAAATCAACAAATAAACTTAATATACCGTATGACTACACGGAGCAGACAGCTGTTCTTTCTCTATACTACTACTGCTACATATTCTGATTGCTTAGATGTGTGTGGGACTGAAGCGAAACTGTGCAAAAATCAACCTTGGTCAGACAATATAAATGTTGCTTGGTTGAATTCCATCACTGATGTGAAAGCTTGAATTGACTTAATGCAGGTTTCAGAAATATCAATAACGAGCAAAACAAAAAAACACATCTAGTGTGCAAATGCCTTAATACATATTTGAATACCTTTAATATTGTGCATAACTTATATTATGTCTGACACAGAGGTCTGGAGGCCTCTGCAGGAATGCATTAGTTCAGGTTGTTTTGTAAGAGTTGTTGTCTTGTCTCTGGCATTGGGCTATGGTGAACCTTGAGTCAGTCTCTATTCTCAAGAAGATAATAGCAATCCTGACTTCTAGTGACCCAGACTTGTATCTGCTCCTTCCCATATGGTATAATCCAGAAATGTTTTTACTTCAAGGTTTTTCATGCATGTTGGACCAACAATCTTCTCGGTTGTTATCAACTCATATATTAAAGTAAAGACGACTAAGGCTCATTATTTTCTTTTATTCACTTCGCACCACTTAGACGTTCAACCATCTGTGCACAAGATTTTCTTCTTCATCTTAAATAGCAACATGAACACTGTTTCCACTTCTTCAGTAGCACCAAGTTCTTTCCATTTAATATATTATGAAATTACAGAGCTATAAATTCAAGTTTCATTATTTCATTTTGCCAAACAAACAAAAGAGTGGAGAACTCACCTTTGGCTGTGAAATACTCAAACTTAACAACTACTGAAAAAATAATATCAGTGACTTTAGTGGTAGTTATGGCCAAAGTTAAATAGAAGACCACAGGACTATATAATGGAAAATATGTGTGAAATCAGAGATAAGATTTAAGACTATAAGACTTTCTCTGGAGTTTCCGCTTCACACATGAACAACAAAGCATTAACATTTACATTTTGGGCATTTAGCAGACGCTTTTGTCCAAAGCGACTTACAATAAGTACATTTGTCACAAGAGAGAAGCCACAAGAGAGAAGCCACAACATATCACCGTCGATGGGGTCAAACGAAACAAGAGATTTTCAGGTCAGGTGTGTTCACAACAACACAACCTCCAAGGCATTCAGGTGAGGGGGGGGGCGTGCAGCAGGTAGGACAGGGCGTAATAGTTTTGCTGCAGAGATCACATGTTTTTGTCTACAGCACATCAACACGACCATCGGACCTTATCCTCAAAAACGATCTTAACATCTTAGTTAATGTCCTCTACATGTATGACACCGCTATAACCTCCTGAGATATTTGTTTTCTTTTTGTTCGTTTTTATTTTAAGTCTGTCGCATTTCTGAAACTTCATCAACGTGCCGACTTCCTTGCAGTAAATCCTGTGGAGGATCTTCTGCTGTCTTCTCAAATGAGCTCATTCGGACATCCCCTAGAGTTTCAGGAGATTATCTAAAGTTTAGTGCAGGTCTGAAAATAATTATATATATATATATGCTAAGATGTGCAGACTATACCTATTGTGTTTAAATGTGGTGCTTTACATAATATACAATAAACATTGAAAACTAAAGCATGTGTTCCTGCAGTGAAATTACATTCAGTTACCGGGAACAAGACTAAACTCTGCACAGACTCAATGAGTACAGACAAGCTCAGTGCATAAAAACATCCTGGGAATCCTTGTTAAGGAAAATGACAGCACTATCTTGCAGGTCACCTAGATCCCTTGAACACTCCTGCGGTGGAAGAAAAGAAAATGAGCGCTGTAATCGTTAAAGCAGATCCTTGATAACAGCGTTTTCAAAAAGTGTGAAATAGAGTGATGACAGATATTTTAATGGAGGCTTACATTACACCTCGCTTTCATCTCCTTAGCTTGTCTCAGCACAGAATCCCTCTCTGGAAACACATAGTGAGGATCTTTAAGCCACAAATAATGATGCAAATATACTTACTCAGGTTTATTAAATGCATTTCATAGCACAAAAAGTGATTCTGTCTGGATTTAAAATATGCAAAGAAATGAGAGGTTGCCTTACTGTGAAGTTTCCACATCTTTCTTGCCAGTATGGCCAAACCCACAACCACCATCAGAGAGGCGCACACCAGCAAAGACTCCAGGATGTGACTAAAACACAAACAACTGAAATCACTAATCATTATATAGTGAATTTGCCATTTTGTAGTCCAGTCCACATGTTAAGTAAATTTTTTATACCCTCTACAGGACACTATATGGACTCATTGTATCCCACAGTGCAAGTAGTGCACTAATGATGGTCACCAACCAAGCAATATATACCATCATGCATTGTGCTGGCAGCACTGACAGGAGGAAAAACAGCAGAGAGATGAGAGGAGGGAGCATGTCTCAGCCTTCTCTCTCACTGGTGATTCTACTCCTTCTTATTGTTTTCAGAAAACATGTGCGTTATCATGTGGATAAAGATATTTCAGTGTATGTCCCTGATATTTCCGATGGTAATAGAGTTTGTTTAGTTTTTTATGAGCGGCACGACACATTCATGAAATATCTAATAAGAGCATGGCAGCACATCACAGCACAAACTGCTATGAATGAGTTTATTTCTACATTTAAACATGGTCATTCAACATGTTTTTTAGTCTAAAATTATTAATACCAATGTGCAAAATAAAGATTTAAAATTAATTATGGGATTTTCCACTGGTTGATGTATTTTGTAATCCTGCAACAACCAGTGCAGACAAATTGTGCCAACTAGTGTCCGAAAGCATTTTTTTCTTGTTTTCTTTTGCAGATGATGTTACTTTATAGTGCTCTATGTAAAAGTCTATAAGGTGAGTAGGGGGCAGTGAATGAGTGGGTGATTTTGGATTCAACATCTTTACAGGCAGTCCAGTCAAAGCATCTCCAGTTGATACTTTATCCATCCTGACATTGTAACACAACAGCCGAGATGATGACGGATGTATATTCCTCTGCAAGAATGATGCGATCATTATCTGTGCTTTGCGAAGCTGAACCTGGGTGAACTCCATCGTTATGGCGAGGAGAACCATCCATAATGGTTAACAGCGTGAGCAGCATCACATCAAACATGGGAGGTGTGGTAAAGGAGTGGCAATTTATGTGTAAATGCAATGTGTAAATATTCAATGTGGGGGAAGAGGAATCATAAAGAAGTGCTTGACTATTACCCGTTCCAGCGCTCCTTGGTGATGGGTCTGGATGGAGGCAGGTGGTCAACAGAGTGATGCAATGTAACTGGGAGTGTTACAGATGTCGCTGCAGGGATAAAGAAATTATACAAAAAGCAGAAAAATGATGTACAGTCATAGGCAGCAGCAGTACACACAGAGTTCTACCATCAATATCCTTGATAAGTGACTTATAATAATCAATAGAGCTGTAGACATGAGAGCCTATGTCATCTGTCACAAACACATATTGATCTTCAACGCTGGACGTGGCTATTTGTCATCTCAGCAGCTTGAAAATTGACATGGGGGAAAAGGCCATAAGTCAGAAATGTGTGCCTCCTTTCTCATCTACAATGCCTGGTTCAAATATAATTCAGTTCTCAGAGTTCGCTGACTTGTCTGGTTTCTATTCCCTGTAGGCTCAACAGATCTTTAATAGATGTTTCCCACACTGAAATCTCACAGTGAAAGCTTTGATTGTGAGATTGGGGCTTTTTTAGGCTCAATTTTTTAAAAGCAACAAAGATCAATGCGTTTCATAAGTTTCTGTTATAATGGTGAAATGTCAGATTTCAGATGAAAGGTTATTTTAAATAATGAGGTGAATGTGTGTAAAAGCAGTCGCTGTGAGACAAAAGCTCAGGTGTCAGACTGCTTTGATGTGACAAGCTGATGTCACTGATTTATTTATACGGTCTCCCTCTCAAAGGACACTGCCTTCCCCGAGAAGAGTCCACTTGAGCATTATAATGTATTCTTCCAAACAAACAGTGCAGGGGTGTTATCACCATTATAAACAGGTAATGGGTGTAATATCAGAGACACCCTGCTCTAATCTTTCTTTCTGTCTACTCTTCTATTCTAGATCAGATTTGAGATCAACCGTTTAAAGATGGTTTAAAAAACAAAAACTGCCATTTCCAATCAAATATTTTCTGTAACTTAGTTTCGCAGATTTCTTTTGGAACCTGCACACCAGTATGAGGATGAGGTGGAGCTCACAAGTACTGAATGCGATACCCCTTCGTGGGCATCCAGATGTTTGGACTATCAGGTGTTGGAGCTCAGGCCTCTTTCAGGTCCTCTTTTTCCTGTTTCAGTCAGAGGCTCAACTGAGGGGCTGCATAACCGAAGTTTGAAAAAAGTACGGACTTTTCACCTCTCCTCTGTTTGTTGGTTGGTTTGTGTGTTTACCCAAGATTACACAAAAACAACTGAATGATTTTCACGAAAAATTGGTGGGTCAGATCAGGGGATATATCCTGGATTAGTTTATTTCACTTCCTTTAATACAAGAGGTGTTTTTCAAAATGTTGTCAGTGTGTGAAATTTGGTGCAGCCTGACTGAATTTAAGGGGACCGTTGGGCCTTGGCGGAGCAGTGCACTCGACTGACTGACACTGTAGTTTTGAAGTGTTCCAGTGGAGTTTCAGGACAAATATATAGAGCTGGAATCACAGTGAGTTAAATGTGTAATGAGAAAGTCCATCCATCCATCCATTATCTAGACAGCCTTTCCTTTGGAGGTCCACAAAGTGGAAACTTTAAGAAGATATTTGTCCTCAGAAATTATTGGAAAAAAAATCTCAGCTGAAGAGAGGGTGAATAGTGCATTCATCAGGAGGCCATAGAAAACCTGTTTGAATGCATTGCTTACGTTGCTCTGTGTGTGGGTAGCCAGGCTGTTTACTAAAACTCTTGACATTTCAACTTTATGGTGACAGTATGTCAGTGTTGTGTTTGCTTGCTCCTTTGCATCCAAGTTTTAAAAATATATCAGAAATGTTTTAGATGAAAATCTTGCCTTGTGCAGCTTCAACAAATAATCAAATGAGATGGAACACTAACAACACACTTTAGGGGATCCCCAGATGGTTGTGAAGAAAAATATAATAGAACATTTAAAATAAAATTACATGGTTTTTTTTACATTAAATTGTATGTGTCAGTTTTTAAATTTTTGTCTCTTGTTAAAATGTTTTTGGTAGTTTTTCCTCACGATTCAGGAGAATGTTCAAATTGTGATTTGTGAATATGGGCAGTAGAAATAAAATTGTATTGATTGAATAATTTATTGACTGACAATGGTGCAGAGAAACACATATCAGCTTCTCCATCTGATCCATCAGGGGCTGAATTACACACTCATGGTGCAGTGGCACCAGTGACCCAACCCGTTCTCTGAGTTGTGCGATGAAGTAAACAGAAAACTGATATTTTACTGATTATACTGTTGGGTCACAACTCTAAAAGGTTGAGAAATACTGGTTTAGATTCCGAACAAATGCAGAAACTTGATGTGAAACACAGAAGTCAACCTACTAGTCGTGGGTCGTGGTGTGACCAGCACCTGCACAGGTATCTGCTGCTGTCCTGCAGAACACCAGTACCAGCCGATGTCTCTCATCTGCAGCTTCTTTAAGGTAACAGTGAAAGCCCCAGTTCTGTCATCACTGATGGCCACTGAAGTGTCTTCGTAGCTCCCTTCAGAACCTGTCACCAGACAGGAGCTCCAGTCTCCGCTCCGACACCACTTCTTCTCGCTCTCTCTGTTGACAAACAGACACAGCGGAAACAGGGATGGACACATCAGCGACAGACTTTGATTGAAGATTTCCAACAAATAACCAAGTTTCTTGAGTTTACTTGTGCTTTGTCAATGTTGTCTTCCTTGCAGATGCACTGTAAAGATTATCAAGTTCTTCAACTCAAAGGGTTGGGTTCAATAACTGCCTTGAAAACATGTGTAGACTCAACTTACTCAATTTACAACTAAGTTGAAAAAAAATGTTTAATGGTCATTCATTGTTTGAACTTCATATTCTGAATTAAAACAATTATCTTACATTGTCCATTCATGAAAATGTGCTTTCTCTTTTACAAAAACGTACAATCCTACACTCATTCAACAATCATTTTCAAGTTAAGATAACAAACTTGCCATGTTGTACTTGTATTTTAAGGAGGCAATTTAACTTAAGTTTCAAGTTTAACTTGACATGAATGGGAAAATCAAGCACCTGTATCTTTCACTGTAGAGGCATTCAACTGAAACACTGCTCCCTTCTTCTCCTCTCAAGGGGTTGTTCACCTCTAACATACCTGCAGGAAATAAAACAACTCATAGCAAAAGCCTGCATTTGCAATCAAACCATTTGAAGTACATCTTTTCTTTCTCAATATGGGTTCAGAATATCTCCATTACTCACCATGAATAACGGTGATGTAAGTGAATGCGTAAACATCGGCACTCCATATACCACCTACTTCCACGCCGCACATGTACCACCCAGAGTCCTCCTCCTTCAGGCTGTTCATGGTCACCGTGAACACCGACTGGACCTTGTCGTCCACAATGCTCGCTTTATCCTCAGCAGGGTTGGTTGAACTGGGATTCGTTTTGGCTAAACTGGTGCAGAACTCCTTCATCCTCCCCTGACACCAGTATTTCACATAGCTGGCATACTGAGGCTCGTAATGACACGGGACTGTGAGCGATCGACCCTCCAGGACTGCAAACTCTTTCACTGTAGTAACCCCACAGAGGAAGGCTAATGGAAAGTGGAGATGATTGAACACTGACCACAAGCTTGAACTTCTGCCGTCAGAACAGAACAGTCGCTCAGTGTTTCTTATCTGTGACTGAGCAACAGTGAAACTGGCCTTGAGCAACACTTAGTACAATATTTACGGTTTCACTTTCCACTGTAACAAATCACTTCCTACTTTTAAGTTCCGTCTCCATACTTCATATTCCAAAATTGGATTATCCCTCTATAATACAGATTTTTTGGGGACAAATAGAAAAAGGCTTTTGAAGACTCGACAAAATAAACATCAAACGTAGTTTAGCTTTGGGGCAAACAATACAGAAGCTCGGAAGATTGAAAATAACCCACAAAGACTTCCTCTGGCTCTTGCAGCAAACTGCAACTTTAAAAACCTTTTAACAAATGATAAATACAGGGAAGGGATAAAACTGTAAAAGAAAGTGAGGCATTGGAAACATATGTTGCATTGCATGACTCAGATTTGCCAAAAGCACAAAAATAAAGTGAGGTGGTGGTGGGATAGACATTAATCCTCCTTAGAAATCTTTTTCATCAATTACCAGCAGACAAATATAAGCACCAAATGATTATTAAACAACTACTGGAATCATTTGATCCTAGAAGTCATAGTGATTACCTGGGATCCATGATAATAGGAGAGTGAGTGTGAAGAGTTGCGCCATGTTTCAGTGTCAGTCTGAGATTTTAAGTCAGTTCTCCCCCTTATGTAAACACAGACTTCAAGTTCCGCAACGACAACTTCCCATTGGTCACGTGAGTGTTAGTTGGATCCAGATGTCCCAGATGTTAACCATGTAGGTGCCAGTTAGGTTTAAAAAGCTGGGGATGCTGTCAGGAAACAATGATTTGTGTATAAATAAAAAGTGTGTCCCCGCTGGTTTGAAAATCTGAATTTACTGCAACAAAAATGTATAAAGAATTTTGACATATTTGCTGATGTCCTATATATTCTTCTTCATCCCAACAGGATTTATTTACTTTCTCAGATGCACAAACCTTCAAATTCTTTGACCTTCCATCACAATTTGAAAATGGGCATATTTGCTTTCTAGGCAAATATTATCTGAGAAGATGGATACTACTCATATCTGTAAAGTAACTATCAAGCTACAGCCAGCAGCTGGTTAGCATAAAGACTGGAGTCAAGGGGAAACAGTTAGCCTGGCTCTTTCCAAGGGTAACCCATCAGCACCACTATAGATCACCAGCTGACACGTTTATGGGGGGGAAACCTCTTCTCATCATAGACATGAGTGCCCTTTCAAAGTGAAGCCAAAGCGTCACGATAGCCCCCTGGTGGTTGGCTGCAGTATAGGTCATAAAACCTGCCTCATCCATGTTAGCAGAAGGGACATGGACCGAACTAAAAAGTAAAATATACATGAAATAAATTTTCCTCAAAGATGGTTTCTGTCATTTACGGTAGTTCATGTTTGTTCAAGTTGTCATGTTACTGAAGTGGTTTTGATTACTTAAAGGTAAAGTGTGTAGGATTTAGTGACATCTAGTGGTGGTATTGCTTTATGCAGCTAAACACCCATAACCTCACCCTCCCCTTCCAAACATGAGAGACAACCTGTGGTAGCTTCAGTTGCCATAAAAAAATTGTCCAGTTCGTCCAGTTTGGGCTACTGTAAAAGACATTATTTTACATTTAATTTCTGCCAACAGATCCCTTTCACCTAAATCTTATACACTGGACCTTTGATTGATGTTGTAAAAATGGTGTGAAACATTATGAATAACAGCTGAGACTGATTCATGATTAATGGAGCGAATACAATATATTGGCAGGACCTCACCACTGCAGCTCCGTCTCCCGATCGCTACCGCACAGTTTCTATTATGACGTATCAGCGCAAGGTGGCAGCATTTGTATCCAGGATGTTTTGACTTCATGTCTGGATAGTGGGAGGAAGGAGAGGCTTGTCATCCATCTTTACATACAGTATATGCCTCACATAGGTTTTTGTAGACACTACACAAAAAAGATCTAAAGTATACGCATGCTATCCTACCCCAATTGCTTTCAAGCACCTTCTTGAAAGCAAATTATCATCATCTTCTCGTCTGACTCAGCAAAACAGCACATAAGAAGTTCTTCCCAAAAAAGTCAAACAATTGATCCAAGGTTAAACATCATTCTCACTCTTATACCTCCTGTTTTTATGATCTTTGTGCTTGCCATCTTTTTCATAGCCTATATTCTCCCAACGAACAAAATCCTGAGCGCCTTCCCCCCATGAAGGCAGATAATTCATTTGGCAGGCTACAATGAAGTTATTTGATTTTGATGCCTGAACATATTGGATTTGGTCCAGTCTTCATTTGTTGGATTAAGCTTCTACACACAGCCCCCACAGCCAGCGAATTAACAAACAATTATTCCAAGCCTCTCAATTTGCTCTGTGAAGGGTGTCAAGGATGTCCCAGAAGTCCCTTGCTTTTTAATGGGGCTACAAAGCTGTTTTATGGTTGTCTGTTTCCTAGAAAATTGTGTGAACAGCCCAGAATTGAAACTCAACTTACATGACAGTTCAGGCTTTTCTCAGAAACGAAACTTAACTTTCACAATACATTCCAGCTGTGTGGAAGACTAGTGGGCTAGTTGTGAATTGTGGAATCAAAATAACCAAGAAAATAAATAGACAGTCACAATTTCCCACTTGTCTCACAGAGTAGCATGCATGTGATTTAAGGAAAGAATGTGCCACGATGCCTCCTAATGTTTGTTTTTATCACAAGGATTCAGTTTGGTGGAAATGAATACCTGATTTTTTCCTAAGCTGCCATTACTCAGAATGGATGTTAGTTAAAGACATTTTCTTCCCCAAGAGTCCGAAGAGACATATCACAATATGATCATGAGCAGTGATAGAAAATACATTTACTCATGTACCACTGCATTTCTAATTTTATGGTACTCAGTACTTGTATACACTTTTAAATCATAATGTTATAGTTTATTTTACACTACCATTCTGTGGTGGATTTAGTTGCTTTGTAAATTAAGAATTTGAAAATGACCCAGGGAAGTGCAGTGTTGAATCTGGTGGGATTTGGAGAAGCGAAATTAATAAAGTCCACTTCCACAGTGGAGGCCGGGACTTGTCAACGTAAATTATGTTTCTGCTCACGACAACAGGCAAGTTCACAACAACAGCAACAATTTCCACTTCTGTGCACTAAGCCGAGCTTCAGTGAACTTTGAATAAACAGGTGGACAGCTCTTTGTGCAGCAGGAGTGCTGCAGCTTCAGGGTTTTGTGGACTGAGTCCAGCAGTCCAGTCTTTATTTGATGCAGCTCAATTACTTCAGGTCACTTTTACAGATTCAGAAAGAAGGCTGCAACTGGCATTTCCACAGGTTGAGCAAACAGCCCATTCCAAACATAATCAGCTTGACTGTGCAGCACCTTAGCCAACCGCAATATTTTAATATGGATTAGGTGTAGATATATATCAGCAATAAAATACAATATTAAAAATAAATGGCAGTATAATAGCACTTTTACTTAAATGTAGTACTTGTACTAAAATGTTGGGAAGAATTTTACAGAATGGTATTGCTACATGAATTTTCTTTACCCCACTGACATGAATTTTTTTCCACTCACCTTAACCTATAACCAGGAAAAGACATTAATGAGTTGCATAAATGTTCAAAGTGTTATGGACTGAAAACCTCAGTATCTTTGTTAAGATCTTTTCAGTCATATAGGACTCTCAGAATCCGAGAGTGACCTCTCCTACAACTATATGCTATTCCTTTTTCAAAAGGACTGGTGCTAATGTCATCTCTTTAATGTGTATAGAGCCAGGTAGATAGACTACCTCTTTGACTGCTAATAAATCTGCCCAGGAAGAGATTTTAGCTCTGACCTTTCCAGCAGAAACGTGGGCCGCCAACTCGATTCAGACTATTTTTCATCTTCGCATGCGAGACGGTTTCATATCCAGTTGAAACTGGTCCTTTACAGTCAGATCTGTCAGACCAAACCCGCTAAAACGAACCCCCGGGTCAGAGCATTCAGTGACAAATGTAAGTGAGAGATGGTAATGCCTCAGTTTAAAGCAATTGAGCTGCAATGTGTTTGGTTCTATCTGAGAAGCAGATCCTCTCATTCCTCTGCAGGGTAATGTTCTTTTGGGCGTGTTGCACGAGAGGAAGGAGTCTGCTCCTAATACTTTCACGAAACATTTAACTGTCATCTTCCACATAAGAAATAATGCAATCTGTAAGTTCAGAAAAAGTCCTCTAAGGTATAGACAGTAACAGAGGAAATAGTCTGATCCGTAAAACAAGTAGAAGCACAGAAATATATTAGATATAATGCATCAAATATTTAAAAAATCGTGTAGAGATCAGCCTATTTCTTATATTAGTGGATCATTACTGTTGATACATACACTGTGATTAACTACTTAGCTGGATAAAAATGTTAAAACAAAAGATATTGCCAACAAATAAAATGTAGCACATTGTTATAGGTCAACCTACCCAACAGGATATAATACTCTGCCAAGGCCCAACAGTCATCTCTTGAATTAACATTTAAATTCGCTAAATGTGGGGGTAGAAAAGGTTTGATCCCCAGCTCTTCCAGCCTACATGCACAAGGTTCGATTTAAAAAGCTGTGTATAATTGTCCTGTTTGAATGTCTGTGAACTCGACTTTTGATTTCATAGGGCCCAAAATATTTTGTGACACCGCTGCATACATTTTTAATAAGCTAATTACAGAAATGTACTGGTTACCACTACTGGGTATTGAGTACTTTAACCATTTTTGTAGACAGGTGGATGTTTCATATTTTTTATGTCTAAAAAAACCCTGCACAAAAAAATGTGTTTGCAATAAGCAGATCTTCATGTAAACTAAAACCTTCACCAACAGTGATGGAAAATAAGCTATTGTATGAATGAGGTTGTAATATAACAACACAGCATAATATAATATAGAATATAGATAAGACTGGTATAGCACTGTGTGGTGACATGGTCTTATTAGAAGGATGCTTGTTGACAAGCAAAAGAATAAGCATCTTATTTCTTTCGAGATTCTGATGCAATAATTTGCTCTAAAAGAGATGGAGGGGTGGAGACTAAAGCTCCTAATACAGTTTAATATTTGTGAAATGAAGTAGTTTTAGAAATCTTGAAAGGAAAACACTTGATTACAAGAAGCGTTCACCACATTCTGTTGTTTTTATTTCTTCACCTCAGTGCAAAAAGGGAATGCTTTACAAATTTGTACATTTAAAAAAAAAAAGATGGGCCGGTTTTTCAGTAAGAAAATGTATCACATGTGACAAGATGCAACTGATTCAATGTTGAAGGTGGAATCGTGTCTTGAAGGGAAGATTTGATGTCTTCTCTTGTCGTGATCTTTGGGGAAAAAGGGAGAAGAGGTGGAAGGGTTAGTAACGTCGAGGTTATGAAACAAGAAACAAGAAAACAGAGTGTGACCTTTCCTCCACTGTCTGCTCGTCTAAAAATTTAATAACGCTGTTTTCTAGCAAAGCAAAAGCAATATGTGGTATCCTGTGGATCTACCCTGAATAGTAAGAGTGAGGTTTGCTTTATCACATGCTCTATCTGGAGCATTTCCACTGAGAAATAAGTGATGACCTGGCAAGGATGGTTAATGTGACTAAGAGCACCCAAAGGACAAGGGCGTGTGTCTTATTTTACAAACATATATCTATATAAAAGCCCATTTACTGTTCCCTGAGAGACTGTGTGCTATATCCACAGGAGGGTTGGCTCAATTCCCTGTAAACTCTCATATTCAAAGATACTGACTCTGATCATAAATTTATTTATACTGTGGTAATGGTGCGGAACAAAATATAAATGTTATGAATCCCACTTTACAAACACTGAGAAATGTATGTGTAAAATACAAACCTTCCGAGAGGGGGCTAATTAATTTGTTTCAACCGATGAAGTTCATCACAACCAGATGGAGGACAGTGTGAGCGAATAGGAAGTCAGCAAAGGCCCTCTCTGGAGAGATGGACAGGAAGTCTCCTTTGTTCTGTGGGTTGATCTGGATACGAAGACACACTGGAGAGAGAGAGAGAAAGAGAGAGAGAGAGAAAAGGAGGATTTAGTTTGTTTTGTGCACCACAAAATAAGACAAAAGCAATAGGACTATAACTAATGATAATTCTATAATAATTTAAATAATGATTTAAGAAGTGGGTAACATTTTCAACTGATAGTTTAGCAAATATTTTAAATTCATAAATTCATCAAAATAAGACTTGTGATGATGGCCGAATCATTCTTCTTTGAGCCATAATGTTGTTCCATACTAAATCCTCTCCCATAGTGGAGTAACAAAGTGGAAGTGTAACAAATAGGGGAGTAATAACTAATATCATGATACAAATATCCACAATCTCTCTTCATGTCAGGCTGATTACACTGCAACACATGTAAATCATGTCATCTTCAGTATTCTATAGTTAGGGTAAGCTTTATGTTTTATATTGTCTCATATTTGCATGTGTCATGTGACTATTTTTGATCAAATCATGATCCAGTGATTAAACAATTGAGAGTAGGAACATTTTGGTCAATGTCTCATCGCCCCAAAAAAGACCTTTTTCCACTTTTCTAGTGCTGATGACCACTGTACCACTTTACAGTAACAAATACAAAAATCAAGGTATGGAACAAACAGTGGAGGAAAAATCTAGATCTGTTTGTCAAACTGTGAATTTGGAGAAAAATAATGACATCACTCATCAATATTGCCATGCAGTAAAGCTGAGACAATTACTTACTGACAAATAATCATGTTGCTTAATGCAATGATCTATTCTATCATCATCATATCAGCCAAAGTGCTTAATGTCACCCAGGCTAATGTTTTACAGAGAAGTTCATACACCATCAGTGAACTCTGAGTAACAGGGTTTCTACTCTCCTGCACTATGAAGAATCATACAACTCTGAAACCTTGATCAGAGTTATTCAGTTACTGGTTTAAAAGATCTATCCACTTGTAATATTAACACTTTAATGCAACAAAACGAGAGTAAACCCAACTTCAATGAAGGCTGTAACGTGCAGAATATTATGATCTCTGTGCTGAGAAGTTGAATCAGCTTCCGGGTCATTTTGGAGGCTGGGGTTTGTGCTTCTGTTGAAGTGTATTGCAGTGAATACCATTAATTATTAGTAATAATGGAGCTACATTAGCTTGTTAGCTAGCCGGTGTCTGTGCTGTTCGCTGAAGGAGCTCTCGCCCACAGACTCAGTGGAACCTTCTTCTGGTGACAATAAGAACACGTCACTGTGGAAGTGACTGACCTGCGAGGATGAAGGAGCCCACACACGAGATGAATCCGGACAGAAAGCTGTTGAAGGGGAAGGTACCGACCAGCAGACAGTAGAGGAACTGCAGAGCTCCTGTCAACAGGATGTACAGGAGATACGCGTCCACCACCTTCAGCTTGTTGGGCGTCGAGGAGCCGTACTCCTCCAGGAACCTGGCGACCACCGATATCACGGAGTTAGACATGTTTCTTCTACTGGAGGCTAAGTGTGCAGCTAGCAGCGGTTAGCACAGCTCCTCTTCCTCAGTCCAATGAGTGACGTGTCCTCGCCAACCGGATGCCGCCTCGGTGTTACAGGAAATACAGTCCGAGTAGCAAAAAGGCCCGTGTTGAATAAGCAGAGCCCTACGCCGTAGCCTGACGTGCGCCTCCCAAAAATCCTAACTACGCTGGTTAGCGAAGCCCTCCCGGAACAATTAAAACAAAGATATGCTTAAAGTACACAGATGTTATACTCTGTCAGTTTTCTGACATGCGCCTAGGTCAATTGTAGTTGATACAATCATACCGTCACTCTAAGTGTGAAACATTATAAAACTTGATTTCATTTTCAGCACGAATACATAATAACTTTTTAACTCTATTTTTACTGTAGCTATTTGTCTGAATAAACTTTATTAATAAAAAAATTTGCCAAACAACATAAAGCACACACACTAACATAACAAACCAATAGAAATTAAAAATATACAAAGGATAAAACAAGCAAAGTTTCATACTGACAAACACAAACTTAAAGTGATAAAGCAAACAAATATTATATAGAATAACTTTGGCTAAAAGCTAGTTAGTATAATCTTAAAGTACGACATGTAAATAGATGATTGTGTCTTAGGTTGATCATTCAATAATTAAATGGTGAGAAATTGTAACTTAGAGAAATGTCCACAGTGTTTTCTATTTAGTTAAGAATAAAATGCACAACACTATATGGCAGTTCAATGATGTCACATAGAACAGAGTTCACAATGCAACTATATAACTTAAATACAAACAGCTAAACTAAAATAAAATAATAATAACAAAGGGGCTAGAATTAGCCTCGTTTACTTTTTTTATTTTTTTTATTTTCACCTATTATTAATTATACACACAAAAGTATACTCAACTGTAACAAACACGGATTGTAAAATACTCCTGTTGTCAAACACACAAAGTAAAGAAGCTCTATTTCGTTTGACCGTGAACACTGAACGACGCTTCGGGTGCATCTTCACAAATAGACGATCTTTGTGGCCTGGTCAGCTGACCCAGGGACGTACGAGTTACAAAACACGAGCAGCTCACACACGGTGACTCGCTGTGTTTTGTGTCTGGAGCAGAAGTCGTGAGGTTCACCTTGATCCTTCAGACTGAATGTGAACCACGGAGCATGCTGACAGATGGATCCGGCTTCAGCTCCGATGCAGAGCGACTGTGAGACGGAGTAAGTCGGTGTCCCAGCTGCTTAGCTGCACACACAATACATCCTGTCCACTGATTGTCTGCCTACATTCACCGCACCAGCAGGGACATGTGTTTTCACTGTGTCACTGGCTCTTTTTAAATTGTCACTGACTGAGGAAAGGAGCAGCAGTGGGTGACACTCCACGGGGAGGCAGGCATACCAATGATTCAGCAAATCTGAATAACCTGTTGGTATTGGGGCAGGTGAAACACCTGGATCTGTACCTGCTGTAGTAGTGGTGGTGGTGGTGAAGCTAGAAATATGACACTGGCCTGTTTCCACCTGCAATCAGAGTGGGAGGGGTGGGGATGATTTACTTATGAAATTATTTACGTGCTCAAGACTGCAATGTTGTCGGTGTATTGACATAAACAGCATGACACTGAAATAAAAATGACTAATAAGAATTCACAGGTAACTGGGATAATCATTAACCTCTGCTTCAATGCTGTGGCTCATGTGTGATGGTTGTGAAACGTGACACTCCCCCGGGTGTGTAGCCATCATGCTTCATGTAAAGAACAAACCACACTGGCTTGAACCTTGGACTTGTGCCAGAAGGATTAGTACTGTACATTTATCAAACACTGAACGTTTCCTGTTCTATCTCTTCATTCTCCTCATGCCTCTGTGTTTGTTTCTGTGCTGTCAGGCCAAACGCAGTGTGGAGCTGGTGGCCCTCCTGGCGTCCGACCTCCATGTCCCTCTTGAAGACAACAGAGTCTAGGATTCTTGCCTGTAAGGAGGTCTCGACTTATACTGGCTGATTATATAACCACTGGGAACTAATGTAAACATAACTAGGCACTTTAATGGTGTTTCAAATCTGCTAACCCTTTATGAAATATCATGTTTCTCCATCTTGAGAAAGTGTAATATAAATATTATATTGTGCAAACTCAGAATCTCATTGAGGACATATTGATTCCTGTGTTACTCTTCTTTTCCTCATGACATCAGGCATAAAAAATGACCTGTGGGCCCGGTTTGTGACGTTACCAAACCAGGATCGGCTATGGACTTTGACTCTCACTAACAAGATGGTTCGCAAACCTGCAGGTATGACCCTCCTCTCGTTGTATATCAGGAGGCAGCAGCTGTATCCTCTGCATTTTAAAACACACAAACAAATTCCCCCTCTGTTCTCCACCAGCCCCTAAGACTCCCCTGGTGATGGTCCATGGCTTTGGAGGAGGGGTGGGGCTGTGGATCAGAAACCTGGACGCGCTAAGCAGGTCACGGCCCATCTACGCCTTCGACCTCCTGGGCTTTGGCAGGAGCTCCAGGCCTCCTTTCCCCTCAGATGCCGCCAAGGCGGAGGAGCAGTTCGTTGAGTCCATTGAACAGTGGAGACAGTCTGTGGGCCTGGAGAACATGATTCTGTTGGGGCACAGTCTGGGGGGGTACCTGGCTACCTCCTACGCCATCCAGTACCCTTCAAGGTAGTAGTGTGCACAAATGTGAGAGACATAACTAACACAAATCCTGAATGGTAAAACTGTGCCCCTAAAACCCACTCACCACCACCTTCTCCTAATAAGTCTTTCCTAAGAAAGACAGTGGTGTGTACCACATAATGATTAAACAAATAAATGGTACTTAATATAATTTGTCTTCTGCTGTCTTTTTCCAGAGTATCACATCTTATCTTGGTAGACCCCTGGGGTTTCCCTGAGCGACCCAATACACAGATTGAGGCGAATCGCGATCAGGGGACAGATGTGGTGAGAAGGTCGTCCCCTCCACGCTGGGTGAAAGTTATTGCAGCGGTGGTCTCCCTCTTTAACCCACTGGCTGTCATTAGAGCGGCAGGCCCATGGGGTAAGAGACGCTATTGTTTATCTAGTAGTACGCTGAGCCACATTTTACTCTGTCCACTAACGTCGGAGTATGTCATTGATTCAGGTCCAGGGTTGGTGAACAGATTCCGCCCTGATTTCAAAAGGAAATTTGAAGATCTGTTTGATGACGATACTATGACGCAGTACATCTACCACTGTAACGCACAAACCCCGAGGTATGCAGACATCATGGTATCACATTTGAACAATACAACATAATGCCTGATAATGGACAACCCATCTGTTATCACCCTTTCTCCTTTCTCCTTGTCTTCCTCTTCCTAGTGGTGAAGTGGGTTTCCGTGTCATGTCGGAGTCTCTGGGCTGGGCCAAGAGGCCGATGCTGCATCGGGTTGACCTGCTGCCGCCCTCCATGCCCCTCACCATGCTGTATGGAGAATCTTCCTGGGTGGACAGCTCATCGGGCGACAGAGTGATCCAGATCAGGAACCAGGCCAACACCAAACTGCTGGTGAGTGGACATGCACAAGTAAAGACATTAGGCTGATGTCCAATTATGTTTATTAAATGTGCAGCACACCACTGAATTAGTATCATTTTAATTCAGTGAATTTTCTTCAGCACATTAACTTAATTTGTCTGTACATAACTGACTGTCTTTGTTATCTTTGTTGATCTGCAGCTGATAAATAAAGCCTCTCATCACTTGTATGCTGATCAACCAGAAGAGTTCAACAGAGTGGTGGAAAATATATGTAACTCTGTTAACTGACTCTGTGTGTGTGTTCCTGTACTTACATCTTTGTGAGGAGCATTTTAAGCATCGACCTTACAAAGTGAGGACATTTTGGGAAAGTGAGGACATTTTGGCCAGTCCACACTTCCTTAAAGGGCTGTTTTAGGATTAAGTCTTGGTTTTATGGTTAGAGTTAGGTTTAGGTTAGGGTTAGGCATTTAGTTTGGATAGTTAAGGTTAGAGCAAGGAGCTAGGGAGTGCATTATGCCAATAAGTGTCCTCACTAAGATAGAAGTACAAATGTGTGTGTGAGTGTGTGAGAGTGTGAGTGTGAGAGTGTGTGTGCACTGAATGTATAGAGACAGTTCATTATGGTGGTTTTAGCAGTGTAATCTTTGCATGTCAAGCATCCTGGATGCTGCTCTTCTCTATAACAAGTTATTACTGACATACAATTAATGTTTGGTATTTATTACACCAATTTATTTAGAATTAGAAACGATTTATAACATGTATTTTTTTTTATTCTGCCATGTGTTCATACAAAGTATTTAAAGGTCTGATTAAACCAACACTAAAAAATGCAGTTATGCTGTAATAGTTTATAACAAAGCAGCCACCAGTCTACTGACTCACAGTTTATATGTGCCTCACATCAACCAATAAGCTCTGGATGTAATATTTTCTTTGACTTCTGTACCTTTCCCACTGTATCAAAGAGACGATTGTGTTTTATACCTTGAAAACAATAAAAGCTTATTCGTCGACCATGTCCTTCTCTGGTTCTGTTGTATTCCACGTGTTGCACTTTGTGACCCAGCCAGCAGAGGTCAGTAACAAGTGTCATCCCAATGAAAGTCCTCTGATCAAACTGCTGCACAAACAAAAGTACATACATATATTCAGCTAAATATATTTTACAAGTATAAGTACTCTCCACTATGCAGACAGAGCAGCCCTTGTAATTACATTAGTTAAAATAGCATTTGTAAGTAATGTAATGGTCATATACACATTTAGATTGATTGAAAACAACAGTTGCTATTAGTCGTTTATAAAGTACCTTGAAATTGGAATATTCATGTCAATACAATTATATTTGAATGTTTTCTTCAGTACAGTGCTTAGGTAAAATACTTTCCTTACCCTGCTGCATGTACACTGCATTATATGTTCAAATATTTTTACTTAATCTGGCAATCCTTTGAAAAATGCTAAATGAGAGAGTAAAAGTACAGGAGGAGCTGTGAGTATATCTGTGAAGTGTAATGTTTATACAGTGATGATTCAGACGTTTTAAGAAAACTTAAAATGAGACATTTTCTTCAACTGGCAAAGAAAAGAAAATCTACTTCTTAACTAAATAAACCATAAACTAGTTTAAAGTGGTAATCTAGTGTCAATGTCACAAAACTGGAAGCAGTTTTGGTTATCATGGAACATGGACCTTTTAGAAATATATTACCCAACACTCTTCATTATGAAACAAATAAAACACCTTTAATAAGACACCAATCAAAGAATATGATGGAGCCAAGTACTGTATGTCCAACCTAAAGAGCTTTGGGATCAAATGAGGTTCACTAATATTTTGTGTTTAAATATTGAAATACTGTGTGAAATATTTGTGTATAAAGGTTTTGTAGCTGTCCAAATATTCCCTATATATGTAAAACGTTTTGTATGTAAAGTATGTCTGTACACAAACATTCCTACACAAAATATATCTGCTGCCACTAGACTTTTTTACACACTCACAAAAGGTGATGTGCAACTGCTACATTATTTCACAGGCACAAAATCTTAGTGACCCCATTTGATCCCATGTATAGCTCGGTCTTGTTGAGCATCAGAGAAGAGAACGACAAACCCCAGCACAGTATGTAAGTCAAAGGGAAAATACATACCTGCATTGAAGGTTCAGAGCAAGAAATAAATGTTTCAGTATCGTAAAGGTACAGTGTGTAGAATTTTTTGATATCTAGTGTTGAAATTGCATGTTGCAGCTGAACACCCCTCACCTCACCCTCCCCTGTGGTAGCCTTTAGTTGTCATAAAAACTGTTTAGTTTGTCCAGTCTGGACTAATGTAAAAAACATGGCGGTCCTTTTCTGGGGTAAAGAAAAATACAATTCATACAATGTATAGATGAAATGAACTAGTGTAAATATAATGAGGATTATTCTACATTAAATTTCTGCCAATAGTTCCCTTTCAACTAAATCTTACATGAATGATGAAATTAAGCAAAGGTGTGCCACATTCCAGCTGCACTGTTGAAACGAGTCACTATGAAGTAATGTCATGCCACACTTTCCTCAAATGAATAAAACTAGTGGTATTACAGAACAGGAATCTTACGGGCCCACACCTGCCTCCTCTCTGATCTGTAGATTACATCATTTCACCATCTCTGACTATGACACCGGGTGTGTCTGTAACAAGTGATGCAGATAGAAAATAACTATTAGTCAAAGCCATCATTTCAGTGTAAATTTTATTACCAAAACAACACAGAAAACAGTCCCACTAAATAAGATAGATAAATAATGTCTTGTTATTCAAATTGTTCCTTCACATTGTCCTTTAGTTGCTGAAGTCAAATAGACCAGAACAAGTAAATCTATGTGTAAAATTCAGGCCGCTCTGGACTTTGATGTGGTTGTCTTTGTAGAGGCAAATCCAATTTTGTAGGTAAATTGCAAAATACTGTAAAGCTGATGTCAGTATGATTATACAGACACAGTGGAGACAAACACACAAAGTATAACAGAGCAACATCTTAATTATCAGGCTCAACCACAAGAAACATTCTGCAAATGGAGACACGTCAGTTTAACGAGTGCTAACTTTTTCAATATAAAGGCAGCGTTTTGAATTTGCATTAATTTTCTGACTGAAGTAACCCTTCAGCCATGTCCCTCCAGATTTATTTTTTTCAAATACACATTGTCAACTAGTCTGGAAAAACAAGTTTGTCTTCCAACTTTGATTACAAAATGCTCAGTCAAATTTAACAGGAAAAAAAACTGGGGGGAATTCCAGTGTGCAATTTGCAAAACGTCAATTTCAGTGTCTCCTTTCAAAACATTTCACAGTACCCTTCCTTCATTTAAGCCATGTGAGGTTCATTTTGTCTGAAAATAGTTTTCACATATTCTTTTTTTCCACCTTATGACAAGATACATGTATAACACACATTTAGCATTTTCACTATCACACAATACTGTTGACCTGACTGCACCTTCACATCAGTCAGTGTTGAAATGCACTAGTTTAGAATCAGTCTAATAACTAGAACAGTTTAATTCAATTTATGAATGCTTGTTAGTTACAGCACTCCATTGGCATGCATTTAAACCCTGCTTTATACTTCTTCACCACAGGGTTGATATTTTAGAGCAAGGCAGAAATGTATTTATATTACTCCAAGTAAAAAATAATACAGATAATGCTACAGTTGTTTAGTGTCTATTCATAGTTTTAAAAATATTAACATTTCATATTGTGCTATATAAAACAAACAAGATAGTTTAAAATAGAGGAACTTGGCAGAATTCATGATGGTTCCATTCTATTTTTCAAGAACGACGATATTGGCCACTCCGTGCACTTGCGTGAGCTGTTTGCAGTCGAGGGACGCCACCAGCTTCCTGGGTCCGGGCTGGGTGGGGATGAAGTGCTCTGTCAGTGTCACTGTGGAGTGACCAGTAACGTCACTGAGAGGGACAAACAGGAGAGAAAGATTAATCTGGAGAAGAAAAGTAGTGGGACATTTTGAAGGGTAAGAGACAGCGAGGCACAAAGAGAGGGCGACGTCTCTCATTCTTACCCTACAACCACTTCATGGCCCTTTTGTAGACCCAGGCCTTCCACTCTGAACACCACATCCTTCAGTGTACGTGGCAGCGGGTTGGTGAAGGTTATCTTTGCAGCCATCTCCTTGCCAACGATGGCGTCTCCCATTTGCTGCCAGGCACAGATTACACACAGGGTTGAACAAAACTTTCTTATCTTTTTAGAGTAAAGTTTTACACTGAAGAGAAATAGCGCAATGCTGCGCTAAATTGCTACTTGACCTACCGTGATGTTGAGGTCAGGTGTGCGGAGCCTGAACGTGGTCTGGTTGGCCAACACTTGCTGCGTCTCGCTGACTCTTCCAGACAGGGTCAACATCAGGGCGGCCTGATCCACCAGCTCGTTCTGGTACTGCTGGTAGGGCAGCACCCACTCAATGTTTTTTTCTGCGCGAAGCGATAAGGAAAAGGAGCACAGTTCAATAATCAATATTTCTGCAATACAAGTTTTACTGTTGTGTAGTTTCATGGATAGTTATTGACATGAGAGCAAAATGTGTATTTTTATTTATTCATTAAATTCACAAGGTGCTTTCTTTACACCAGGTTTCTGTCCAACTTCAGCTTCCATGAAAAATGTGTTCAGTTCCAGTGTAATATATTGCAATAAAGTGAGATTATTGAATGTCACAAGAAATAATATAGTCTTTCTCTATACAAATGAAACGTTTGTTCATGAAACACACCTTTGCTTAATAAAGTAGACTCATGGATTTTATTGCTTCAGCCTTACTTGGTCTGATCTCACCAGCTAAGCTTGTGGTGACTAATGTGTGCTTACTTTATTTAGATATTGTTGTGTAACTGACACAGTTTAATGTCTTCATGATTCCTGAACAATTGTGCTACTGTTAAACTACATCTTAACTTTTACCCTCTTGTTGCCATTGTCACTTTTGGCCACAGAGGTCCCTGCTCAGCAAGATTTACAGAAAATCTCCAGAAAGGATCTTCTTGAACTGAATGTTTCGGCTGCACGGGAGCAGCAGAAACAAGCAGCACAGTTTATATGACAAACTGCAAACACTTCTTATCTACACATTGACTAACATTAACTTTAAACACGTAATCCTTTGATACAATGTTAGTATAAACATATAGACTATGGCGGCTAATTGGTAGTTAGTAATTTAACGCTTAGTGGAAATCCAACCTTCATTGGGCAAAAGCTCCACAGGTATCTGTTCCTTCTTGATGGTGCCCTTCAGCACACCGGTGTAGTACATGACGGCCACCTGGCTGTGCAGGATTGTCTGACGAGGCTGTGAGCTCAGGTTCTTCACCAAGATGCTCAGCCTAGCATCGGTGCCCATCCTCGGCCCCTCGCCCTCCATCTTCACCTCCACGCCTACGTCCTCAGCCATGGGCGTGGAGTAGACCTCTGGCTTGCTGCCATAGCGACTGGCAGTCTCCACGGCGATGCGTTCCTCCTCGGAATCTGGTAGAGTAGAGGGAGGAGAAGGTGAATTATTGACAGAAGCGATAGATTTGCAGACACAGTCCCTCAAATCAAAAGAACACGTTTTAATAAATCATTACATTTTAACAGTGTTGGAATTATTCTGCCGCTCTGAAACGTCAGTCTAAATAAAATATGTTTTTCTGCACCTTCTTGGTGTTTGTACAGGTGTGTGATGTCTGCCCGCTCTTCAGAGCCCACGGCTTTGGTGCTGATGCAGTGGCCGACCGCTTTCTTCTCACTATGGATCTGGCTGAAAGTGCCATCCAGGTTCCTCTGCCAGTAGATTTTATCACTGTTGACCTGATCGGAAAAACAAGAAAAACAAGGTCAAACATCAGGAGAAGATTAAACAAAGAATCCATCACAGTTATTTATTATTTGTATTCTTTCGTACAGTTGAAATCAAATGACCTTTTCTTTAAGTCTTTTGTGAATAATATAAATTCGTTTTCTTG